TTATGATGTGCGCATTGAAGAAACAGCACTTTGGTAGTTGTGTGTAGAGGCACTAGGATTGGAGTGAGGTCAGAGGAACGAGAAACTGGAGTCTGCGGTGCCACAGGGCCTGCAGTGGTCGAGGCCGCAGGTGTGCATCTGCACTGAGGTCACGGGGTGGAAGCAGGGGCGGGTGCCTGTTTGAGAGAATTCCTGAAGGAAATAAACAGGATCTAGACACTGCCTTGGTGTCGGCAGGATGTCGGGCGGCTGGAGTCAATGGGGGAGTGAGTTGCTGTGAAAAGAGCAGTCCTCCTGGTTGGTTTTGTGGTGGACAAAGGGTGCGGTTCTGTGTGTGTCAACCCAGTTCCTTGACAGAGAATCTGGATGCTTTGATTTTACCCCCAGGTCCATGAAACCTTAATAATTTGCTGTTTCTGCTATGTTCGTTCCTCTGCCTTTTATACATTCCCTCAGGACACCCGAGGGTTTCTGAGACTCGCACCGATTTCAAGGAGTCACTGAATATGCATCACCCCCTCTCCCCGCAGAGGAGAGGAAGCTAGCTGGAGACTAGCAGCCCACTCTGGCCCATGGGCACAAACAGTGTTTTGTTTTGTTTTGTTTTGTTTTCTACTTGAGTTAACATTTTGAAAAACTGAGACTTCCCCCCCAAACCTGGATTTATGGCTTCTCTTGAGAAAGGAAGATCTGGCTACACGGCGGTGGTCTTGGAGCAGTTGTCTGAGCCTGAGTAGTTGTCACCTGTGTGGACAGGCCCTTCCTTCAATGCTTGGCCACAGCCCCCACCACTCAGTTCGCGTCTGCACGTGAACTCATCCTGGTCTTCCCGTCCTACCTTATCATCCTGGCTGCGGAGAGCCAGGCTGTCTAAGAGCCCAAGCTCCCAGAGAAGCTGTCTTCACCTTGAGGGTTTTCTTAGTACACTTTGTGGTACTTTTCTTCTAAGAACAGATACATGGGAGGATATAGAAACGTAATTCTGAAAGTTGAAATCTAACTTAGGCAATACCAACTTTTTTGTTTAAAAGGAAAAACAGGCAGCACTGATTAAAAGTTATAAAAGAGAATACCATTTGGCTGGGCCCGACTGGTATAAATATTCTGATGATGTGGTCAGCCCCTCCACCGTTCACAAAGGCCACGAAATGACGACGAATTCTCCTTCTGAGGCTCACAAGCTAAGGGATCGGATAGCTTTATTTTCATCTGGAAATAGTGCTGTGTTAACATGCGGGAAAGGGAGCTGAATAAAAGTTTTGATTGTGTTGTTGAAGGAGTATCCTAAGAAATCCTTCTGGATAAAAATCTATGCCTCTTAAGTCAGTAAGGAAGAAGTATAAATCCTACGTACAACATAACAGTTGGAAAGAGTGTCAGTTGAAATACTTTATTGGAACGATGCACCTTAAATTTACCTGTTTTGAGGGGCCATGTTTTTGTAAGACCGTCCTAGAAAGTTCCCTTTGTGTGTGTAGGTCAACCTTGGACTAACCCCAAGATTCCCAGTCATCAGAACATAGGAAGTGGAGGGAGGGGTATTACACATGCTTGGAACGCAGCCCGTTAGCAAAAGCTACATTTCCAGTGCTGGCTGTCTTTGTCTTCAGCTTTGAGTAACTCACTGAATATTTGATCCGAATTCCCCACACTGCTTACATAAACAGTTCCATGCACTGCTCAGGAAGTGTGTGACATAATGTTGTGATGGATGTTCAGACTCCGATCGCAAGAACACACGATCACAGAAAGAGTCTGGTAATCTAAGGAACTTTTATTAATTTATAAAGGTGCATGTCTTCGTGTGTAAAAACAGATGTAGGAAGGCCCGTGTGCTGTGGCAGCAGAATGAGTCTGGGCGCTGACTCCAGAAGCATGGGCTCTACTCCCAGCTCTGCCTCTGTCTTGCCCTGTGAGCTTTGAGCAGATTTCCTCTACGACTCCTTTTCCTTGTGTGTAAACTAAGGCGTTTGAACCGATGACCTTCCAGGCAGTGTTCCCACCCCTGACGTGGCTGCATTTTTCGTCCCAGGGAGACACTCCTCAGTGACTACCTCACAAGTGATCTTGCTTAGCTAACCCTCCCCTGAGGTAATGACGGAATACCCTGTGTAACTTATAACCCGGGTGAGGCTTCACTGACCATCCTCAGCCCCTGCCGGGTGCAGAGTATCTGGAGACACCATGGAAAGCCAGACTGGGTGTACGGGGAGGCAGTCTTTTCTGTCTGGGTTTCAGAATGCCAGGGAAGTTCTATTCCTTTCAGATGTTTCTCTTATTGAAACACACTTAATTACATTCTGCAGTATTCTTTTTCTTAGACCTTTTTTATTTTTTCTTCTTGGATACTGGGTTTTGAAGAGCTGGTAAGTGGCAGGTCTTAGAATCACAGATGATTAGTTTTAGCGGATGGCAACACCAAAAGATTGGGGGTAGATGGTGATAGAGTCAGGGGCATTGGTAAGAGACCCCAAAGGCCATCTTCACCCTTGGCATCACGTCGTCCAGCCCTGGTCCTCGTTGGGCATGTCCGAAAGTGATGAAGCACACCACTCTGCCTAGCTCTGCTTCCTGCCCCTGAACCCAACAGTAATGGGTGTGGGTATGTGCCCCGGACACACAAACACAGCCAGGTCTACCTGAGCACACTGTGGGCTGAGCCAGGAGCAAGGGAGAGAAAATGCAAAAGAGAGGAAATAACTAATGGAACAGCAGCTGGGCAGAGGCTGGAAAGAAGGGGACTGAGTGTAGGTAGAGGGTAAGGGTTTGTGAGACAGGAAAGGAAATCTAGTCATCACAGAAAACTCTGAAGGACGAGGATGAGTAAGTGTACAGCTTAGACATTCGGGGGATGGGGCTCTGAAAAATGGTTTTTCTTCTGACTTGTCCTCAGTAAAGTAGGAAAGTCTTGCTGTCCTCATCTCTCCGCAGAGCTCCTGGGCTTTCTGTGTTTTATTTGGTGCTCAGTTGGTCTTGGTTGTTGAGATCGGCATCTACAGAAGAGAATTATTGTGAACAAAAGGACTTTGCTCTGCATCAGCTCCCCTTTGCCTTTCTCCGGAGCAGGGTGTGCAGCACGGCACCGAAACGAGAGATTCCCTGGGTGCTCTGAGCACCAGAGAACTTGGCTCCGTCCTGTTCCTGGGGCAGAGAATTTTTCATACCAGAACCCCACTATTACCATGGGACAGGAGGGTGGCAGTAGCTTTACTACTCAGAACCCTTCTTGGGGCCCTGGCTGGTTTGGCTCAGCGGTTAGAGCATCGGCCTGCGGTCTGGAGAGACCCGGGTTCGGTTCCCGCTAAGGGCATGTACCTCGGTTGCAGTTTGTCCCCGGTTCTGGTCAGTCGTGCGGGTGGCAGCCACTAGATGTGTTCCTTTCACATCGATGTCTCTCTCTCTCTCTCTGTTCCTCTCTCTCCCTCCCACTCTACCTGAGCAAAAAATGGAAAAATGTCCTCGGGTGAGGATAAAAAAAAAAAAAAAATACCTGGATCTATTATGATACTATTCATAGGAACTCAACCTAGAGAAATTAATATGTTTGCCCTGGCCGGTTTGGCTCAGTGGTTAGAACGTCGGCCTGCGGTCCTGAGAGACCCGGGTTCGGTTCCCGCTAAGGGCGCGTGCCTCGGTTGCAGTTTGTCCCCGGCCCTGGTCGGTTGTGCGGGTGGCAGCCACTCGATGTGTCCCTTTCACGTCGATGTTTCTCTCTCTCTCTCTCTGTTCCTCTCTCTCCCTCTCTACCTGAGCAAAAAATGGAAAAATGTCCTCCGGTGAGGATAAAAAAAAAAAAAAAAAAGAACCCTTCTTGGTAAATGTATTGGACCAAGGAGACTTGACCTGTGTCCCTTTGAGCATTTAGAAGATCCCTAGGGTTTCAACACTAAGGAAATGCAGGAAGCAGCGAGATCATTTCTTACACAGTCTCCATGCCTGTACTTCACTTAGATATAACATTTAGTTTTATATTCACCCAGGCAATGGGGCCATGGAAACACGTGGTAAACCGAACGTCCAGTGTGACTCTGATGTCTAACAGCCTGTGGCTCTGCCTTCACAGGTGACCACACCTTCCGCTTGCCAACCCCGTCAGGGTGTCTGGTCGCGGAGACTTGACCCTCCCATTTTTATGCCTGAAGATTTGGAGCCTTCTTTGATTCCTCTGTCTCTTTCCTGTCCTACATCCAGTTGATGGCCAAATCCCACTGGCCTTTCTTTCAGAAGGTTCTTTTTTCCATCTGTGCTTCCTCTGATCACCAGCTCCCCGTCTCACACCTGAACTGCTCTCTCAGATTCCCCTGACTCGCCAGTCTTTCTTCAGTCCACCTTGTACTGCATTTCCAGAGCTGTTCTCCTTCAAACGCTGCCTTGTATACACTACTTTTATGTCTACTGAAACTTCTACCTATACCAACAGGAACCTTTACTGGCTGTCTGGTAAATAAAGTCCAAGTTCCTTAGCTTGGCATTGAAGGCTTTGTATAGTTTGTCTACTGCCTTCTCATGACTGTTCTGTTTTCTTAAATAGACCACCAGCCATTTCAACATCTTTGTGTGCCGGGGATGGGACTGTACCCCTCCTCCCTTCCCTGCTTAAAATGGTTTCTTCTGGCCCTTGCTGTGCCTGAACCAAATGCCCTCCACCTTCACAAAGCCTTTCTCTGTTGCCCCTTTCCGTGTTAAAGGCCCCATCTCCCAGATTCCTGTAGGATTTCTTGCTAACCGTATTATATCACCTGTGTTTTCATGTATAAGCCCTGTGTTTCTCGGTAGTTGTACCCTGCTCCAGGGATCATGTCTGGAGACCACATCTCCAGTGTCCAACAACTACCTTCCTCTTCAGCAAACCATCTGAGGATGAAGGTAGGCAAAAGGGCTTCATGATGGGACCATACAGTGAACTGCTTGAGGAAAACTGGGTGAAATCTCACTTCTGCCTCTAAAAGTCCCAGTGAACCTTGCCGCATCTCCTGACGTCTTGTCCTCTGTTTTTGCAGACTAAAATATGACAGCATGAGAGCTGATACCGAAGGAGCTAACACCATGTTTAAGTCTAAACCTAATATTATCCAAATGACTCCGGTGATTGGACTTGAAACAAGGTGGGCACGGCAGCCTCCCCATCCCCGACAGGACTAAGCAGGAGAGTAAAGTGGTTTACAGAAGCCATAATCTACTTAATAAAGACAATAGAGAGACCTCCCAAAATAGCATGGGAGGGTTTTTCCTCAAGCACAATCGCAGAAAGTAATGAGACAACTTTAAAAAAAAAAAGTAATGGAAAGCTCACAACTGGAGACAAAAGACAGTATCTCCTCTTAGGATCCATTTACCTAGTGCTCAGCCTCTGTGTCCTCTTCTTCCCACTCCTCCAAATTCCTGGTTGAATTGGCAAATAGCAGGCACTTAGCAAAGCAGTCACTTGGCCTTCCTGTTCTTCTAAAAATTATGCCCCACCCTCCCAATCTGGAAAACATAATCTGAATTCCTTTCAGCTCCACAATATATCACTGCCCTCCTTTATGCTGGAATACACTTTCCCCTTTAGATCCTCTTCCTCTAAGTCAAGATGAGACTATTTTTCACAAGAAATGTTGCTCTTGGAAGAATGAATTGACTTCTTATTTATGAATTTAAAGTATTTCAACGGTTAGGGAGGGATCGCATTGTTCTGTGGGGGAGGAAGAAACTTGCTTCTACCCTCAAGTTTCTTTTGGCTGGCCTAATAATTAAATCAGCATGAAACAGATTAACAAGAGAAAATAACCACATTTAATACATACGGATGCATGGGAACCCCACCAACTTGAGAGAAGCAGAGGCAGAAAGGGAAAATGAGGTACATACAGCATTCCGAGCTAAGGATGAGGGGAGGCACCTCATGGCTTCATGGGAGGAAGGTCGTTGGCAGGATGTTAAGAAGAGCAGGTGTTCAGCAATGACAAGTGTGCCCTGCCCTATGCATAGGTCATGAACAAAGTTATTTCTGATGATAACTCTTATTATGGGGTAGGCCCCTCATTTAAATTCTTTAAGGGGAAATTAAATGTTTCTCATGAGCCTGCAGGGTCTTGATGGCCTTCAGCTCAAAATAATCCGCAGGCCCAAGTGACACATTTTGGGGAGGCCTGTTCTGAACCCCTACAGTACTAAATCTCTAATTAGGAGCCAGCAAGTGGAATCCTATTTTAACTGTCTCTGGAACCCTAAAACCTCTAGAATCTGAGTTGGGTTTTTTGTTTTTTATTGATTTGTTTATTTTTTAGAATCTGAGTTGTTACAGTGAGTCTTGAAATTCTGGCTAAGGGCTCTCTAGTCCTATCGTTGTTGATCAAATTCTCTTCCAGTGAACCATCTTCATAACTGAATCCAAATGTCTTTCTTTTCCACTAAAACTTTATTCCTTTTGTTCCCCCTTCCCCCATTGGAATATGTTTTTGGTTAGGACCTTATCTCAAAGCCTTTATAACTTGTTGTTGTTTATTCCAAGAACCTCTGCAGTAACACTGTTCTCCTTGGCCTCGGTGTCTCTGTGAAGCCCAGACGGCCAGATACTTTCTGACCCATTAGATGCTGATTACATCCTTGGCCCTTACTCCTGGTGACATTTTTTTTCCTTTCAAAGTGGCAGTTGCTGTGATTGAATGGGTTTTAAATGGTCTCAGTAGGAGTTCTTTGTGGCTTGGATCCCTTTGGATTTTCTATCATTTGGGGAGCGGAGATGAAAATGAGTCCGAGGCTCTGTCTGACATGTGTTACTGAAGCTGTACACCCCCTAGGAAGGTTGCAGGGCAACCAGCTCAGCTCCCACATCAGTCACTGGGAGCTTTGCTTCTCACACTGACTCCAGACCAACTGTCGGTGGCACGATTCTTGTTGGCCTTGTGTCCTTGGTTGTTCCAAAGATACTGTGGCAAGGGCTGGATTTTACTCTGCTAACCCTTCTCTCCAACTAGTTGGATTGCTGATGGCTCCAGTGTATTTAAGTTGAGCAATTGAAAGTGTTCAGTTGGGTGAAAAAAAATCAGGTGACTTGGAAAACATAAAGTGGGCATATCAGGGCTTTCTTTGGTTTGCTCAAGAGACTTGAGGTGGGTCCTCCATAGAAAAACAATATTTTTATGTGCTTTTCAGAAGCGAGAGCAACCCAGATGGTCTAATCTAATAGGTTCATGTGGATTTTCTTTTAAACCCACATTGACTAATCAATGCTAAGTTTTACATATTGCAGGCAGTGTTGCTGGTACATGGAGAAGAAACTCAGATTTCGTCGGGCAAATTTGTTGTCACAGTGGATTTATATTTCGTATATATTTGAAGCGGGTTATACTTACAACAATATATACATGTGGGGTTTGAGGGACAGTAGTGAAGTGAAACGTTGTTTTCCTAATTACTTTAGGGAGGCATCTCCTCCTATTCTGTAGCTATCTTTACTACCAGCCTCCAAGAGGAGAACTCAGTAAATTCACTTAGTGAAATCATTTCTCCAGTGAGAGAGTGGGTATGGATTTACACTAATTTTGTTTCTTTCCTTTTAGAGCCTGACATTTCATCTTTCAGGCTAAGTAAATTCTCAGCCACTATAGATATTCCTAGTAGCCAAATGTATTTAGAAATGTTATTTAAGGTTTTTCTCTTCTCTTAAGTTGAGACGTCTATAGTTTCATAATGTATAGAGTACCCTTCAGAGCAGATGTTAAACACATTCTCCTTCCAATTCCAGAGATGGTATCAAGTATTATATAAGTTGAAAGAGCAAAATGCATTGTGTGGTTGTTGCTATAGGTTTTGATATTTAAGTCTACTTGTAGATTACTTAACTGGGGGTATTTATTTTATATGTTTATTTCTCAATGACTCCATGCACTGTTAAAAGTACATCAGTAACTGAGGCCAACAATTATATTCATATTTCATACTCAATTTGGGATGACAGAAGTATGTTACCATTTAGAAATTTATTTACTAGATAAGCCAGATCTCTCAGAATTATTTAGATTTCAATAATTTTTACATTTCCATATATACCATTCAAAGAAACAGCTGAACCAGATTTTTGTATGTTTGCCTGTACTTAGAAGGAGAAACTGTTATCTGCTTCCTGTTGCTGGGTTTTGGGTATTCTAATCCACCGCGTAGCACCGTGCGTAGAACTCAGATCTCGTCAAGCTGGGCCCTGGATGGGCGGGAGACGTGGAGGAAGAGGTAGCAGAGCCTGAAGCGAGGGGAGGAGATAGGTGAAGGCTGCATGTGTTGGACTGTGGTGCCGCTTAGCTGCAGCGTGGGCAGTGGAGGGCCAGGCTGGTAGCCCTGAGCCCCGTTGGTCTTGATTGCCAGGTTGGGAGGTGGTAAAAGGGAGTCAAAGGGACCGAATAATAGTTTCGTGCATATTGGTCTACTGCCAAAAATGGCTGTTATGGGGCCCCGGTTTGCACTGATAAGGGGCCATGGTGAAAGGTTGTGTGGTTAATGAGAAGAGTTTTCGTTTTATTCTAGATCATTTGATTTGATCTCTCTTTTCTGTTGGAATAGTTCCCTACGTGTACGGTACACTTGGTTACCCTCTGCTACTTAAGAGAACATGAAAAGGCTGATTGGAAACTCCATGGGAGTAGCCAACAGATGAACTTTGGAGCCAGTTACTGGGCCAAAGTTAATGTCTATACAATAATGGAAGGTCTTTTCTCAGCTTTCCCAGAGAACACTCCTCTAATCTCCTACTTTGGGGGTGTCTTCCTGGCTTCTGTCATAGGGAGGAATGAAAATTTGGAGAAGGAAAGGAGCAGTTGAATCCATGGCTCAGCATGCTTATTTTTACCCAATGGCTTTTCTTCCCTCAATCCAAGCCTCACAGTGTTGCCTATAGTGCCTGAGAACTGCGGTCCTAGTAGCTGACTTTTCCCAGGTTCTCTCTCGTTTGGGGACTGTGGTCAAGGTGAGAAAACACTGATCCTGTGCCTACGGAGGGTCAGGCCAAGGCCTGGAGGGGCCAGTCTCTTTCTAAGTAAACTTTCAAACAGTCTCTCTGTTTCCAGTCTTGTGTCTCACTTCTGTCCTTTGGGGTACTCCAAACTTGAGCCTCTGAGGGTTTTTGTGAGGACAAATTATTCTCAATATCCCCTTGGCTGCAGGTGCCATAGGCTACAGCAGAGTTGAGGAGTTTGCATCAGGCTTCAGTCTGTCTGCTTTGTCTTCCCCAAATGTGTTGAAATTGCTTCTTTGCTGCCTTCCCTCCTAGTCTCTTGCCCTCATCTCTTTCTTTAATATAGATATATATCACTTTGCCATTGTTTTGGTGGCTTTGGTAAAGGAGAGGTGAATGATGTGTGGGCGATTCACTACCTTTAACCATGGGCCTATATTATCACCCTCGAAAGAAAAAAGACAGCCAGTTAGTTGAGTTTCTATATATAGTTATATCAATGTAACTCAGACCCTATTATTACTATGAAATTAAAGCAATTTCTAAATGATTCCTGAATGACCTACTGATGTCACTCAGTTTCTGACTCAGCCAGTCTATAGAGCAACCAGGGGACGGAGGCCTTGTGTTCCGGAGGCCGCACAGTGTTCTGGGAGAGCAGTGAGGTGGGACGGGGCCCCGGGCCTCCTCCCGTGGTGCTCCGAGTCTACTTCCTCCCCCGTAGGACCCACTTCCTTGTTTTGTGAGTAAGGTCTGGTCTCAGGTACCTTTCGGTGTGAGCATTCTGCGATTCTCAGGGCAGGTGGCTGCAGGGGAGCTTGTGTGAAAGCCGTGAACCTCTCACTCCTGGGCCTTTAATCTGGAGCCAGACTCGCAGGCCCACAGGCACTGAAACCCCTGTGGGACGTCATTGCCTGATTGGCAGAGTGGAGCTCGGACACCTACTCTGGCTGAGGCTCTGGCTCCTGGAGCACAGGATCCCGTCGGCAGTGATGCTCACTCCCAGCTTCCACAGCAGCCGGCGTGTTCACCGTGTGAATGAAATAGCCCAAGAGTTTGCTCTCGGCTGAGTGTAGCCTGGAGGCCCGGAAACTGCTCCCATTAGCATTAGAC